TAAGCTGTCGGACATGTGCCGGGCTATAGGGTCTCATCATCTCGGACCAGGGCCGGCTAGGGCCTAAATTTGAGGCCCGTGCAGGGCTCTAACAAAAGTTAAGGACTGCAGCTTTAAGTTTATGGGGCTGTCACGTGATGAACGAACGACTCAAACCCGAAGACTTGTCAGATAAGAGGTGAGGTGAGCTAATCATACCAGGTAAACAATTAATTAATCTTTTCTGTTTCTTATACATTATAGTTGATATACATTAACGTGATACATTATAGTTTTGTATTGTTTGTAGTGTGATCAACGTTTGCGTAAGTAGTAGACGTGTTAGGGAAGTAACACGTAACATTTGAACGAGACTCAAAGGTCCGAGTCGGTAAAATGATCCGAACTTCCCATCGTCACTACAATAAACACCAAAGAAGAAGAAGAAGAAGAAGAAGAATATTCCGCTTTCCTACTCACTTCCGTTTTTTTGGTCACAGAAGTAATGCCAGCCCACCCCCCTCACAGCGGGAGAGGGGGGTTGAACCACACGTGGAAACGGATCTGTCCCGAGCAGAAAAACATTACTGAGAAGCTATCTCCTGCTGGAAGTGCTTAAAAGATCTGCTCCATATCAGCCCTGAATAATTCAAAGATATCCGACAATGGAAGATGGCAGGGAAACAGCAGCGATGAGACAGCAAAAAAGGAAGGATCGACAAATAGGTTGGCTAATTATTATTTAATATCACTTGTTTGGATATAACCTTTAGACCTAATAAGATTAAAACTGCTTTTAAAAAGATATACATTGGAAGCATGTCCATGCTCCCCATTTTTATCTTCTTCAGGGTCTGTTGTTATTATTGATATTGCAGCATGGGTGTGTCTTTATGCCCTCTGTGCCAAACTGGGCAACAACAGGTGCTCATACCCCAACATTAAAATCAGTCTTACAGCACTATACAGTCCAAGCACTTCTGTCTTCGTCAAAACAATAACCTGATATTTTGTTGTTTATTTTATTATTTCATTCATTATTTTTGTTGTTTGTTCAGGGTCTGAACTGATCTCGCAATATAATAAAGGTATAATGATAAAAAAAAAAACTACGTGTTATGGTGTGATATAGTATAGTGTAGTATTGTATGGTATAGTGTGTTATCGTAGTATCCTATAGGATGGTGTGAGGTGGTTTAGTAAAAGTAGTAAAAAATGCATCTTCGTTGCATATAAATGTCTAGACAACATTTGGAGCTACTTTATGTCATCTTTATGCAAAACTGATTATGTTGATTATGTTGGGGAACACTAGGTCTTTATTTTGGAGTAATCAAAATATAACTTTGTTTATACTGTATTAAAGACAAACATAATGCTTAAATAGATCAACATTAAATCCCGTGTAAAAGCATGGTGTTTCTGATCATGTGGCTGGTGGTCAAAGATCTTAGCCTTAATGCAAATGTTACGAGGTCAGTGCAAAGCAGGGATGATTTAATCATTCTACAATTACTGTGATCATTGTCCTGCTCAATAATCATATCCAGCATTCAATCTTACTTTGCTCTGACTGTCGCAGCAGTTAATGTAATTTGCTCTGGATGGATCTGCTCAAGGAAATGTCTTATCCCTTATTTGGGCTTATGGGCTCGTAGACTAAGGGTTTTAGGCCACATATACAGTAGCCGCTTACAGTTACATTTCTCTATAGATCGGTGGTGTCACCGATACTGAAGGTAGGTAAGATTTAAAAGCATAGCAATAGCAGTTTTGTTTGTTAATTTATTATTATTTTTTTCCACAGAGAGAAAATTAGAAACCTAAATCGTAAATAATAGCATTTTCAACATAACTATTTCTTGAACACTCTTCATATCCCTTATACCTGCTTGAAACATAATCTTCTCTCTGCCATTTTATTGTTCTTTAATATACATCACTGTATTAACGTTTTTTGTTGTTGCAAGATTTGGCACTTAATTTTGCAGCTCAGTGTCCAGTGTCTCCTGAATCGAGTTGTTTGGAATAAAAGCGTCTGCTAAACGAATGAAGGGGAATGAAACGGTAACAAGGACCATATGCAACACCACTCCATTGCACTAGATGGCACAAGCATTTGTTTTCCATTGGAAGACAATTTCTTTTTCTCATTGGGAGCCAAATGTGAGACACAAAGCACCTTCACCTTCCACCTGGGGGCGCAATGAGGCTCAGAATAGCAACCGCTTCACTGAGCTCTAACACTGAGCCACCTGAAAATCTCCTGAGATCTTTTTTTCGCGTTGTTGAAAACATTTGTACATGGAATCGATATATTGAGGATAGCAAATCATTTCCTAAATGAACACAGTATTCGAAAGGAAATCCATCCTTTCACTCTTTATAAAATGATTTTTAAACTGCCTTACCGCAGTAATCACAATGACTGTGATTGATCCATCCTGAAGAGAGACGAGAAAAGTTAGCAGATATGCAATAACAAACGCTGCCTTTGTGGTGTTTTAGCAGCGACCTGGACAATAATTACACCTGGATAATGTCACTGAAAACAGATCTAATAGTATTATTTTGTTAATGAACGAACCGCTGTTTTGAACATGCACTCATTCATATTTCCAGTAGTCCTTCACTGCAGAACACAAGATCCAGGGGGCGTGGTTGGATCCACATCCAGGGGGTGGAAATTAGTAGGTTTAGGGGTGGAGATGGATGGGTTTAATATTTGTGGGACCGGTTGGTGGCGGTGGTTTCGATTCTCTGAGCCGGCTCTTTCGGCTCCCAAACGGCTCTTGATTTAGTACCACTTCTGACTTTTATTATTCAGCCAAATATAGCTAATTAGCGATGTTTTAGAATTACACGTATACCACTTAAATTATTCAATGTAATTATACTAAACCATATAATTTACAGAATATCATAACATTACGCCTGCTTGATATAAAAACCTTGAACTATGTAAAACCATCACTATAACACTATTACACATCCTGCTCAATATGATATTTACCGTACAAATTCTACATTCTGCTTATGTTGTCTAGGTATATTATTAAAATGCATCCAAGTGCTACTTTGTTTGCGACTTATGCATCTTGTATTTTGACCCAAAATTAAGGATGATATTTTCCACACACAACTAACTAAATAAAATAATTAATTAAAAGTTAAAAAATGATTACATAAAATAAATCGTCTCTCAGGCGGGAACCGGCTCTCATCGTTCACTTAAAAGAGCCGAGTCGACTCATATAGTCACCTACTTTGTAGAGTCATATGTAGTTTCCACCAGAAATCTACCAGAAATGTTAAACACAATTATTTAAGTTGCAATAATGCGAACTTATGGCTTCAGCAAAAGCATGCGCCATTGATTAACAACCGTTAAATGATTTACAGGTCTGTCTTTAAAGGTTTATAAGTTGTTGTTACAATCGATTCCGCTTTCCTACCAATCAGTTAGGTTGCCAACCGCCAATAAACACCAAAGAAGAGGAAGAAGAAAAAAAGATTCCGCTTTCCTACCCACTTCCGTTTTTTTGGTCACAGACAAAGAAATGCCCGCCCGGGGAGAACATGAATATGGCAAGTGTGAGGAGGGTGTAGAGATTAAATGCTGTAATTGTGGGGGAGGACATAGCGCAGCATATGCA